TAATGTAGAGTCTGCAAAACACCATATAACATGGATGAACTTGGAAGACATTATGCTGAGTGAAATAAGTCAATCACAGAAGGACAAATATAGTATCAGTTTGTTGTTGTGGAGAGTCAAGGAAAGATTTATGTATTATATATGGAGGGAAACTTTCTTTGTTGGTTGCCAGGGGTAAGGGAAAGGGAGGGAACACTGTAAAAAAAAAAAATGCATTGACCCATGTCACCTTAGTTTTGTGTATTTCACTGTACATAAATTATATTTCAATAAAATGCATTCTTAAAAAATATTAACATTCAATTCATAAAACATGTAAGATAATCAGTTTAGGATGTCATTAAATAATGTTGCTTTATACAATGACTTCACAACTTTTGAAGATACTATATTATCATTATCTTGTGACCAGATAAGGAAATCAATTTTATGTAACACAAGATAAGGTTTAACTGATATTTGCCAGTCAAAAAGTATAATAAAATCTAACTGACCTTCAAGCCTCATTCAACTGAGTCAACAAGGAGCCCATACTTAGCATAAAACTACCCTCTTCCAGCAGGGATCCAGAGTGAGCCTTACAAAGTAGAAAATGTCAGAAAAGACAACTTGAATTCCAGGGAATCTTGCTGCAAAGGAGGGCACAGATAAGGGGTGGTAGGTAGCTGAGGATGTTGGGTCCAGAAGGCAATGGTGTTTAAACAATAGTTTAGCTTAATTAGTAAAGAGTGTCTGCCTTGAGCATTGTGCTCTTTTAAGAACTACTATATGGGATCAAATTGACAACAGCAACTCAAAAGGTCAGATAGGAAACTTAGGGGGGCAGTGAATTTATGTGAACGAGGACGGAACAATTTGGAAGAGAAAGGTGAGAATGAGTGCATAACATTAAGAACGTAATCAGTGTCACTGAATTGTACATGTAGAAACTGTTGAATTGGTCTATGTTCTGCTGTGTATATTCTCAACAACAAATAAATTTAAAGAAAAAAAAAAAAAGAGTCTCAGTCCCCTTCTCCATCTAGAAAGAACAAGAACAAATATTCCTCAACCACTACTATGGACTTTGAGTCAGCTAAGATTAACATCACTTGCCCTTTATTTATGTCAGTCACTACAAGAAGCCCCAGACTAAGAGTTTACCCTTAATGTTTCATATACTAACTCCTGTCACGTCCTGCATACTCCCTATTCTGTACCCATCTCCAACTCCTCCCCAAGCCCTAAACCCTTACACTGTGATTTCTGGAACTCAAAGCCCAGTATCAGCAAACCAAATCCTCTTTAGCTTCCAACTCTTTATTGTCTTGCTCTACCCAAAACCTAGTTATCTCTGAGGACACCTATTCCCCACAGCCCTCTCCAACGACAGCTGCTTTATTCCCCACCATCCTCATAGCATTGGGCCTAGAGGTGGGACTCCTCATTGCCATGTGCAGAAAGTTCTTCCTCCTTCTTCTCTAAAAGCCTTCAGATTTTAATCTCATGTCATTAGATTATGTCACTCATTCATTGCTATGATCACCTACCAATCCCTAGGTCAATCCCCTTTATTTCTCAATGATCTTTAGCTTCTGGGTCATTGTCACTCTCTCCAACACTACTCCTCATCTTAACTCTTAGAGATTTCAGGAGCCTGGCTTCTCAGTTCCTTGAACAACTCTCTTCCAGTCATCCTGTCCTCTATCCTATTTCAGCCACCCATGCTCCTATCCCAAACTCTGCCATTACCAAGAGCTGCAATTCCTCAATAATCTCCATTTCCACAACTCTCTTTCTCTAATCTCTGACCTATCAGCAGCATTTGACAAAGATGATCACTCCTTCCCCACTAAAACACTTCACCTGGCTTACTTACCACTTCTTTTTGGTCTTCATTTTCTTCTTCTCCCCTACCACTTAATGTTAGTGTCAAGGGTTTAGTCCTAAGATTACTTTTTTTATCTACCCTCATACCTTTGGTAATTCATCGTCTCATGGCTTCAAATATCATCTAAATGCAATTGACTCCTATGGCGGTTAAGTTTGTGTGTCAACTTGGCTGGGCCTGGTTGAGTGGCTGGGCAGCTGGATGTAGTATTCCCCATAAGACTGGTAATCAACTCCATGGTGGAATCTACTGTGAGCAACTGAGTAGCTGCCTTTGGGTATGTGGTCTACTTCCTCTATATAAGCAGCAGCTTTGGGAATGGTCTCCAGTTTATGGCACGCTTGAACCCTGCATTAGCCATGTCATTCAGCAGCCTGCCATGCTCTGCCAACATTAGGACTTTCAATGCACTTCAATTAATGGCCTGCCATGTGGTTTGGTAACATTGGGACTGTGCCATTTTATTTGTTGATCTTGGGCTTGTTAGCCTCAGCAGCCAGTAGCTGCCTGAGAAAGAGATGCCTCTAGCTTCAGTGGGGTGGGAGCAAGAGGCAGAGCTGAAGTCCAAGGTTGAGGGGCTTTCACACAGCCCCTAGAGCCTGGCACTTTGAATTTGGACTTCTAGCCTCCTGAACTATAAGAGAATAAACTCCTGTTTGTTCAAGCCATCCCATTTGTGGTATATTCTTGTCAGAGTGGCACTAGGTAACCAGAACGACTCCCAAAGTTAAATCTCCAGCCAAAATGTCTCCAAATTCTATACCACCTGCCAGAACTAACACCTCTACTTGGGTTTCTATTAGACATCTCAAAACTTAACATACCCCAAAAAATAAACTCCTGATCTCTCCCTAGAAACTAATCTACCTGAGGTCATCTTCATTTCAGCTAACAGAAACTTCTTACCAGTTGCTAGGACAAAAACTTTCTCTCATAATCCATATCCAAATCCTGATGGCTCTACCTTCAAATATGTATCTGGAAACTAACCATTTCTTCTACATCTGCTGCTACCCTAGCCCAAACTAGCATCACTTCTCACCTGGGTGACTGAAATAGCTGTCTAGTTGATCTCCCCATTATTGCACTTATATCCTACACTCTAACCTCAACACTGAAACTTAGTGATCCTTTTAAAATATATCAGATCATGTCATTCACTCTTCTGCCCAAACCTTCCAATGGCTCCCCATTTCACTCAGAGAAAAGCAATATCCTTACAATGGTCTACAAGACTCTACCCCTAGTTTTACCTTACTACTTTCCCTTTAACACTCTCCATACTCCCCATTCCAGTAATACTAGTCTCCCTGGTATTCAACAAACATGCCAGACATGCACCTGCCTTAGACATGCCCTTTGCACTACAGTTCTCTTTGCCTGAAATAATATTCCTTGAGATCTCCTCGTGGCTTGTTCCCTTACCTCCTTCAAACCTTTGCTCAAAAGTCTCACTGTAATTTTATTTAAAATTACAATGTACCCTCTGCAACATTCCTCCTTATCTGGCTCTATTTTTCTCCACAGCATTTACTACTCTTTAGAAAGATGAAACAGTCTGCTTCAGTAAAGATTTACAATCTTGAAAACCCAATAGGGTCAGTATGAGTCAGAACAGACTTGATGGCAGTGAGTTTGGGTTTTTTGTGGTTTTTCATTTTTGGGGGAGGACACTATAATATTCAATTTATTATGTTTAATGTATGTTATAAGCAGAAAATGGGACCCCAAAGAAATATTAACTTCCTAATCTCTAGAAACTATGAACATTACCTTACGGGGCAAAAAAAGTAAATATCACATTATATGGCAAAAGATGTGGTAACATTAAAGATCTTGACAGGAAGCTTATCCTGGATTATCTGATAGGCACTAAAATGCTGTCACATGCATTCTCATTACTGGCATGGAGACTGTGATGTGAAGACAGAGGCAGAGATTAGAGTGACGCAGGCACAAACTAAGGAATGAATGCCAGGGCAGCCACCAGAAGCTGGAAGAATCAAAGAACAGACTCTCCCCCAGGGCTCCTGGATGGAATGTGGTCCTGCCAACACCTTCATTTCAGGCCTTCAAAACTGTAAGAGAATAAATTTCTCTTGTTTTAAGCCACCAACTTTATGGTAATTTGTTATAGCAGGCACAGGAAACTAATAAACTAATAATAATGTTTATTAGTAAACATTATTACTAATAAACTAATGTTTGTCCCATACAACTAGAAATATAAGTTCCACAAAGGCAGAAATTTCTGTTTATTTTATTCACTGCTATTTCCCTAGCACCAATACAGTGCCTGCCACAAGGTAGATACTCAGTAAATATTTGTTGAATGAATGAATGAAATAAGCATCCTAAATCATATATCACCATCTAATTAGTCAGTATAATCCTCTCTTCACACAAAACCATTACTGTTTCTATGGGTACACATATAATAGAAAAGCTGAGGAAAAGCTTAGGAAGTTATACACAAAACTCTTAAAAAGGAAAGAAGAGACAAAATTAGGGCTGATGGTCAGAGAGGACTTCAGCCTTATATCTATAGTGTTTTAGTATTATAAAAGAAGAATATATTTAGTAGTTATGTGGTTAAAAAGTAATCTAAAATATTTTAAATAACAGGTCTCCTATAAATGGTTAACTACAATTTTTAAAATAATTTTAAATGTCTATTTATATGAGGGACCAGACAATGTTTTGTTCTTTTGTACATAGGTCACTATGAATAGTCAGAACCAACTTGACAGCATCTAACAACAACAAGAACAACAACAGCTTATATGAGACATGTATATTAGACCACCAATAATGAGAAAAACCAGGGCACTCCTGAATCTCAAGTAGGCACTGAAACTGACATTTACTTTTTTAAAAAATGAAAAAAAAATTACTAGGATTTGGCAAATATAAGAGTGTCATGCAAACATGAAAAAAGAATGAAGACATCTTTTTCTTGCTTAGATGAATTCTGTAACATTTATTTGGAGGCCTCTTTTCAAAGAGAAAAGCAGAAAACTACAGAAAATTAAATGATTTGCAACCTTGAGTGACTTATATATAAATAAAATAATGAATAAAAAATATTTCCAACAAAAAGGGAACATTCTACTAAGGAATATAATTTTACCTGCAGCATGTAGTTGATCCGCCAAGTCATATAACAACTTAAAGTTTTCTCCACTCTTCAAACCCCGACCTCATTAAAAAAGATTAAAAAACCAAATTAGGCAAATATAAACTCCATTTCGATACTCTGTATACCTGAGTGAATTTTACTATTACATAATTGCCACATCAAGCATACCATCTCCTCTATAAAGTCTTCCCTGATGCTACTCCTGTGCTTGCCCTTTCTCTTGTACTTCTACAGAACACTCAGCATTATTGTAATTAACTAGTTGTGTAATAAACTAATTTTGCAATTATTTTTTTATAATTATTATTATTATTGTAGTTTGGGTGAAAATTTACAGAGCAAATTAGTTTTCCATTCAACAATTTATACATATTTTGTTTCATGCGATTCCCTCAATGTAACAGTATTCTTCCCACTTCCTCCTGTAATTAGGCTTTAATACATACAAAGATCTTTAACTGCAGAGTCCACATCTATCATGGTCACTGCTATATCCACAGTACTTAAAAAATTCCTTACACATAGCAGTTGCTCCATAAATACTGGTTCAATGACTGAATGAAGTTATTATTTCAGTGTAAGTTACACTACCAAACTTTAAACTTCTTAAAAGCAAGAATACTCTGCCTTTTCATCTTTGTTTCTCCAGCACTTTTTATAGGGCCTGGACAGAACCGACACTCAATAAGCATTTCTCAAATGAATGAATAAATAAATGGGTCAGATATATCTGACTACTGAATTATTTCTTTTCAATCCCCCTAGCAATACAAGGCTGTTTGGAAACTTAATTATTTTGTTTGATTTGATTATATTTAATTTGGAAAGATTTTAAAATCATCCCAATAAGTGGTCCTTTTAATTAATTATTTTAATAAAGAGCATGATATAAAAGAAGTCAAACAGAAAAATAATAGGGAATAAATAAAACCAGAAGCTGGTTCTTTTATAAAATTAATGAACTTTTAACTAGACTGAGAAATGAAAAAAAAAAAGATACAAATAACCAACCTAAGTGAAAGAGGAGACATGACAACTGATCCAATAGAAATGAAGAGAATTATGACAGAATATTATGAACAACTGTATGGCAACAAACTGGACAATCTACATGAAATGGACAAATTCTTAGCAGCACAAAACCAACCCAAACTGACTCAAGAGGAAATAGAAAGGCTCCACAGACCCATAACAAGTGAAGAGAGCAAATCAGTGATCAAAAACTAGTCCAGATGGCTTCATTGGGGAATTCTACCAAACACTTAGAGAAGAATTTACATCAGTATTGTTTAAACCCTTCCAAAAGATACAGAAGGAAGGAATACTCCCTAATTCACTCTATGAAGCAGACATAAGCCTGATAATCAAAATCAGAAAAAGACACCCAGGACGAGACAGGATGGGATGGGACAGGGAAACGGGGACACAGAAAATAACAAATGCTGGCAAGGATGTGGGGAAATTAGAATCCTTATCCATTGCCAGTGGGAACACAAAATGGTATAGCTGTTATGGAAAACAGTGTGGTGGTTTCTCAACAAACTAAAACTAGAACTCCCATTAAAAAAAAAAAAAACTCACTGCCATCAAATCAAATCCAACTCATAGCGACCCCTCCTTGAGTTTCCAAGGCTGTATCACTACAGAAATAGATTGCCTAATCATCTGGTAGCATAGTGCCTAAGGCACTTGACTGCTAACCAGAAGGCTGGTGGTTCAAACCCACCAGCCACTCCCCAGAAGGAAGGTTGGACAATCTTGGATACTACCTTGGAAACCCAAGGAGGGGTCACTATGAGTCGGGTCCGACTCAATGGCACATAACAACAACAACACAATCATCCTTCTGAGGAGTGGCTGGTGGGTTTGAACCACTCCTCAGAAGGAAGATTAGGCAATCTATTTCCATAGAGATACCACCTTGGAAAATCAAGGAGAGGTCACTATGAGTCAGTGAGTTTGGTTTTTGGTTTATGTACCTACTTCTCATATTTGGGAGGGAGGGAATCTGTGCTTCTCTGGAATAATACTAATAAAACCAAAGTTTACAAGTTTATATTATCTTTTAAAATTCATAAATTACAGTATTCCACTTACCACCAGATACCACCACTTTGGCACCAGTTAGTTCAGGTCGATCACTTTTTGTTAATTTCTGCTCAAGCCATTCTGATATCCCCACTGGTGAAGTACTTGATGCTGAACACATTGATACAAAACAAAACAATGTCTGTGATTCAAAGTTCTACAATGGCAATTACTTTTAAGAGAAATACAGAAATACATATTTCTATGAATTTTTGTTAGTTATTTTGAATTTTCTGGGTTCTTCATCACAATTTCTCTGATTTGTAAAGAGGTTATATTCCAGAATTTACCTCATTAGTTGTACGACTTTTGAAATGTTATTTAATTCTCTGAGTCTAGCTGTAAACCTAGGATAATCCCCTCCCTATTAACTTCAAGTAAGATACTGTATATGTTAAAATATAACACTCTCTATACAGTTACTATTATTACATTATTCTATTAAACTGAATCTCCCAAGTATTGTGGAAATAATGAGAAGAGAATAAAAAACCTAACATCAATAAAACAGATTAACCTTAATGTGTCCACTTTCCCCTACCTCCTTGATCCACCAAAGCAACTATGATGATACCAAAAATTATGTGAAAAAGACGTAAGTTATATATATTTCCTATTATTTATATAAGCTTAGGAATATCATTTAGATTGAGCTTTTAAATACTTTGCATTAGGAATTTAACTGGAACTCATTTCTAATATAATATAACCTGGATTTAAAAAGAAGAAATTAACACTCACCCTTTTCTGAACTGGCACTTCCTCCACTTATTGCGGCAGCTTCAAAAGATGTTCCTCGGACAGAAAACACCTTGACTTTCTCATCACACTTCACTGTACATAAAGCATTTCCTATAATACACAATTTACTTTAAGAAAACAGAATTCTTCAAAAAGTAACAAAACATGTATTCCTTTGAGGCTCAAAATTTACTTCACTAAGACAAGGTAAGAAAAAACTGTATACTAGTTGTTTTCTAACTTTACCAAGTATAGAAAAAAGAGAACCATTAACAGTGTGTCAGTGGATATTTGTATAACCCTGGAGGTCTTTAAAAATAGGACAGGTGCTGACCTGGGAATAAAAAAACTGAAACAGGGGGACACAATAATCACGTACCAAAAACAAACAAACAAACCAGCTGCTTTCAAGTTGATTCCAATTCATAGCAACCCTGCAGGACTGCACAGAACTGCCACATAGGGTTTCCAAAGCTGTAATCTTTACAGAAGCAGACTATAACATCTTTCTCCCATGGACCAGCCAGTGATTTAAACTGCCTACCTTTTGGTTAGCAGCAGAGCACTTTATCCACTGTGCAACCAGGGCCATAACAGTGAAGAAACATAACAGTGGATATTTGTCTAACCATGGAAGTCGTTAAAAATAAAACAGGTGTTGACCTTCCTGGAAGCAAAAAAACTGGAAAATGCAGATACCTTAGTGTAAGTACACTAAGTAAGGTACACTTTGCTTAAAAGAAACATAAACAAAGCTTCCTTATCAATAATAAGAAGAAGAAGCCACAATCAGTAACTCAACAATATGAACTGTAACAAGTTAATAAGAATAAAGCTACTTGTATCCTATGGGAGAAAAATATGTGATAACATGATAGGGCATAAAGGGCAGGAAGTGTGGATGTGCCAAGATTTTAAAAGGGTTTGAGGCATCTCTTATGGATTAGCAATCACATTAAGAGTGACCTAAACAGTGACCAAATATTTCTCCTCAAACATTACTGAAGATAAAAGGCTTGATTTGAGAATTGACCATTTATACTGAAATACACAACTTTAATCAGAAAGAGCAAAGAGTTCACTGCCTTCTCCAGCCCCACTGGAGACCAGTATGCTTAGCAAGAGATCAATCAACTCAAGGGACACTGAAATTCTTAATGCAGATGGAAACAGGAGAAAAGACTGAGAATACTATTCTAAAAAAGCTTTGCTTTTCCAGGTACTACTTCTAAAATATATTAAACTAGTGAATCTAATTTTTATTGACCTTTGGAAAAATCTCACTGCAAACTGAATGACCAGGTAGGAAAGAACTGTGCTCCAGATCTATCAGAAGGAACGCTGTCATGGTTCAGAAGCAATTCTAAGACTTAAGATGTTTCCCAGAAACCTTTAAGATGGTCCACTTAAAGTAACTACATAGCTTGTTTTAAAATCCTATTTCCAAGATTAAATTCTGCTTTTTAAATTTACTAAGATTTAACACATTGATTAATTATCTACTTTGGGTACTCACCTGCATAAATTGTTCTCACAAATGTGTCAGGTGACTTGATTGCAATGATGTCAGAAATTGGGGCAACATCAAGTTTGGCTGCTACTCTGGGCAAAAGATTCTAAAAGCAAAATAAGGAGTGAATTATATACATACACATACATGCTGACTGATGTTTACAAACTATCAGCCATGTCATTCTCTAAATGCATATTCTATAGAGATGTCAATTTAAATAATTTATATTTCATATTCATCCTTATCCTTAGACAAACCACAACTTCAAGCACAGCTTTTTTAATAGCCTTTGAGATTAAATGAAAGTCTACTATTATTCTAACTACATCAGGAGTTTTATGAGTTTTATGTAAGGATTACATTCAAAAACCCTGTGTGGCATTTCTGTCACATGCAGTCACTATGAGTCGAAAACGACCTGATGACATCTAACGACAACAATAAGTAAACCTCCTTAACTCAGTACGTTGAATTATGAGATATGTTTGCTTTAATGAATGCCACTAAAAAGTGTGAGAGTAATGGATAACTGATTTAAATAAAGATAGAAAAAATATTTAGAAGAGTAGCAAGTTCAGTATTCTCAAATACTGAAAGATTATACTTGTGTATATTTACTTAAGGAGCCTTGGTGGTGCAGTGGTTAGATACTTGGCTACTAACCAAAAGGCTATAAACCTCAATCCAACAGAGTTAATTCTTGCTTTACAAATTCTGACCATTATATGAGTTCAAGAGAAAATACCTTTTGAATATTTTCAAACCCATTGGCTGCTCTGCTTCCGAAAAGATTACAGCCTTGGAAACCCTATGGGGCAGTTGTCCTCTGTCCCATAGGGTCACTATAAGTCCAAATCAACTCAACAGCAATGGGTTTGTGTTTTGGTTATATTTACTTAATATAAATAAAACAATTTTGAAGCAGGTATTTTCACCTTTTGTTTAAACTGATACAGTAAAAAACTCAAAATTAACTGAAATGTCCATCAATTAGAAATAGGTGATATAAATTATAGTTCATCTACATAATGGAATACTATGTATCCCTTTCCCCACAAAAAAAGAGAGAGAGAGAGAGAGAGAGAGAGAATGAGTAAGGTAAAGAATAGCCTGTATAGTATGTATGAAGTGATTAACAATATACTTATATGCCTTTCCTTGTATAAGCATTTAAGTGCTGGTGGCATAGTGCCTAAGGCATTTCACTGTTAACCAGAAGGCTGGCAGTTCAAACCCACCAGCCACTCCTCAGAAGGAAGGTTGGCTAATCTACTTCCGTAGTGATAACACCTCGGAAACCCAAGGAGGGGTTGCTATGAGTCAGATCCGACTCGACGGCAGTGAGTTTGTTTTTTTGTTTGAGGAACAGATACATGTGGTAACTTTGCTCTCAGTGGCTGGGGTCCTAGGGAGAGCCACTCTTTCCCCACATCTCAGTTACCTCACCTCACATTGAGGGGAAGAGAATCCCTATCCTTCTAGTCTAAAATTCTATGACTCAAGTGTTCTAAAACAGAGGATAGTCAGTTAGTGAAGACTGACATATACATACTTTTTGGATTCAAAGGTACTCTTAGATGATGACATTAATCTAAACTATATAATCACAAAAAGTAAAGTGTTGCTTTTAGCATACAAATAGAAAAGATGAATTCTATACTGCTTTGTCCACAAAGCTTACTCCATCTCACCTCCTAAACTTGGTACATGGCAGTGCCTTCTGTGGGTACACTCTCAAATTCCCTTTCCCCTACAACTCCAAACCCTCTGCTCTCTAAGAATTATCCCAGATTATCTTCTAATTACTCCTTTATTCTGCATCCTCCTACACATATGTACATTATATGAATTGGTACTAACATGTTAACATTTTACAATAATTTTTAATATACGTTATATGACTTCAATTAGATTTTTAAGTATCTTGAGGGCAAAGGTTTTGTTTCTTCTATTTCTTTTATGTCCCCAATTCCAAACTATATCTGATAAATACTTCTATATAAAGCAATGCTAACAAGTGTGGAAAGTCTAAGCCAATTTCTCTCCTGCCCCTTTTCCAATAGAAAAAGATTTCTAATTTCCAGTTTATCGATATTTACATAATGTAGCAATCCTTTGTCAACCATGGTAGAAAAGCCAATGAAAAGTAAAACCACAATTATAAAAATAATTAAGATTCTGCGATAATTAAGAGTTATGTGTCAACTTGGCTGGACCACAACTCTGTGTGGTTTAAGCAATTATGATGTGGGTTATTCCCATGATGGGATCAGATGTATATGTTTTGAGCAGCCAATCCATTGGAAGGGAGTTTCCCTAGGGGCATGGCCTGCTTCCAATATATTTATGGACATCCTGGGAAAAGAGACACTTTTCTGTGGATTGGGATCCTGTTGTGCTGCCTACAACTGTCCGTGAGCTAGCAATCCACCCACCATTCAGCCTGGAGATCTTGGATTCGTCATTCATTGGAGTCAACAGCGAGTATACTGCCTGCCAACCTTGAGCTCATCAGTCCCTGCAGGAACATGAGTCAGGAAAAGCCTCCAGCTTGACGCCTGATTCAAAAACTTCGGACTAGCCAGCTTCTATAAGTGTATGAGCCATTTTCCTAAGATGAAATTCTATTTCTCTATATGTATATATAAGCTTTACTGGTTTTGCTTCTCTAGAGAACCCAACTTAACACAGATTCAATAGGAAAAAAAAAGGGGGGGGGGATTAAAATACAGTCCTAATACATAGGTTTAGAAGATACCTACTTCCACAACAAACCAGATTTGTCAGTGTTGAAAACCTGCTTCAGTGAGTAAAGTTTTTCCTGAGCCACCTTCTCTAACTATTCAAGAGATACTACTGGGATATTATTATCTAGCTGAGCTGATTCTCTCATAAATGTTTATGTGCCTCTTTTTAAAGTTATAAAATTTTCTAAACTGCTTGAAATTTAATGCCTTTTGACATTTCATTACCCTCTGTTTTATTCTGGGAGCTCTGGTGGTGTAGTGACTAAGGCATATGACTGCTAACCAGAAGGCTGGTGGTTCAAACCCACCAGCCCCTCTTTGGAAGGAAATTTGGGCAATCTACTTCCGTAGTGATACCACCTCGGAAACCCAAACAGGGGTTGCTATGAATCAGATCCGACTCAAAGGCAATGAGTTTGGGGGTTTTTTGATTTGTTTTGTTTTAGCACATCTTGAAAAAAAAAATTACCATGGTACTTACCAAAACCAAAGCCACTGCCATGGAGTCGGATCTGACTCAGCGACCCCTCCTTGGGTGTCCAAGGCAGTATCACTATGGAAGTAGATTGCCCAATCTTCCTTCTGAGGAGTGGCTGGTGGGTTTGAACCACCAGCCTTCTAGTTAGCAGTCACATGCCTTAGGCACTACACCATCTAAGTCTGGTCTTCCATCTAAATGCTCTGAAAGGGTAGATGATAAATGGATATATCTCTACACTATCCAAAAGACTGAACCACATGGGAGGAGAAGTGATAACTGTCATTGTGTTCCTTTCATCTTTGCAGATTTAAAAATCCTTGCATCCCAATATAAAAGTGTGTTATCTCAAAATCAGTGCTGACAAAGGACTGCCACAGAGCAAAATGTTTACCTTCATCTAATGGACTCTCATTCCAAACCCATTCAGAGGCTGCAGCATCACTTATTATTATGTGATCCATACAGCACAACAAAGTAATCAAGACCAGATTATTAAAATCTGGCAAATGAGACTCAACTAACACCCTTCTTTTGTCTAATAGTCTTTCAGGTGAACTGTCACCACAGAAACTGCAGACCCATGAAATTGTTTAAATCATTCAAAATAGAATAAAAATTCTCAGAGATGAAATGGTCCATAAAGATCTTCTAATTCAATGTTCATCTAATGCAGTAATCCTTTTTACAGTATCCCAGAGTACAGTAAATAGTTGGCTGTCAAGCCTCTGACTTAACCATTTCCAGGGAAAGAGAAATCTATCCCAGAGAAAATGATTCCAGATTTTAACATCTCTAAAACTCGGAAGGAAGGCTGGGCAATCTACTTCCATAGTGATACTGCCTGGAAACCCAAGGAGGGGTCACTATGAGTCTGGTCCGACTCGACGGCACATAACAACAACAACAATTGGTAGATGTTAGACATCACCTGGTGAAACTCCATCATTTTACATATAAGAAAAACAAACTTCAGAAAGGTAAACGACTAGCCCAATGTCATATATATCTATGGAACCATCTTTAGTACCTATCAGTTACTAAACCCCATACAAAAATGGAGTAATTTATGGTAGCCTGCAATGTGACAACCTTATAGAAGAATAATTGTCCATTAAACCTGTATGTTTACACTGTAGGTTGAAAATTCTGTTATTGCCTAGAAAGTCATCTTAAGTCATTCATTTAGACTAGTCTAAAATGAAAAATTTTCATGAGTTCAAACTGAAAATTCTAGAGGTTAAAAACAAACTTTTCCAATATCTTTAACTGATTTCTGCTTTAGCATAGCCATGTCAGTCATATTACCATCTTCTATTTCCTCGTCTAACCGCCATACAATTTACACAGGTAACTGTACAAAGTCCCTACAAGGTTTGTAGTGATTCCTCATGCCTAGAAGGAATACTGGACCCCAGAAAAATATTCACCAAATACCCTTTACCAAGGAAAAAGACCAATATATGTAACCTATTACTGCCGCTCAATAGGAGTAGCAGCTGATGAAAGAGAGCATATCTTATTTCCCAAATTCATACTGAAAAATTAACTGCAATGGAATTATGAATTTAAAAGGGAAAAAATCAAATCAAGAAAATTAATAGAAGAAATAAAAATGAATGGTAAGTATATGAAAAGATGTTCAGTCTTACTAACAATCAGAGAAATGCAAATTTAATAAGCAAGATGTAATTTTCCACCCATAAGACAGAGGAAAAAAATGTTAAAATGTGTAATACCAGTTACTACCAGGACTGTCTCATATACAACTGGTGGAGCACAAATTTAAGTATCCTTTTAAGAGCCATTTAGCAGTATATATCAAAATGTTAACTGCACCTAGTCTTTTTTTAAAAATGCATTTTATTGAAATATAATTTATGTACAGTGAAATACACAAAACTAAAGTGACATGGATCAATGCATTTTTTTTTTCAGGTTCCCTCCCTCTCCCCTCTCACCCCTGGCAAACAACAAAGAAAGTTTCCCTCCATATATAAACTTTTCCTTGACCCTCCACAACAATGAGCTAATACTGTATTTTTCTTTTTGTGATTGAGTTATTTCACTCAGCATAATGTCCTCCAAGTTCATCCATATAATGTGGTGTTTTGCAGACTCTATATTATTCTTTAGTGCTGCACAGGATTCCATTATGTGTAGGTACCATAGTTTGGTCATCCACTCTTCCGCTATAAATCTTGGAGATAAGTCCCTTGACAGATATGTAATTATCGGCAAATATGAAATTGTTGTTGTCATTTTTGTTATGTGCTTTTTCGTGGTGTCAATTTCTTTGTTCCGTATCATTTTCTACACTGAGCTCATTTTTGTTTATGAATCGTGTTATCACTTCATTACTATTGTTTTAGTATTTGCTTAATATTTATGCTGGCCCTCTTTTTAGATGTGAAGGTTTATCATTTTTCTTTGTTGGTTTTTCTTTTGTTGAGTTGGTTTCTGGGTTATATTATCATGTGTGGTAATGGTCAATTGTTGTTGGCTGTTGTTGCTTCTCTGTCCAAAGGGTTCCATTTAGCATCTCATGTAAGGTTGGTCTGGTTTTAACAAATTCCCTTAATTTCTGCTTATCTGGAAATGCCCTAATTTCACCATCATATTTGAGGGACAATTTTGCTGGGTACATAATTCTTGGTTGGAAATTTTTCTCTTTCAGGGTTTTCTGTATGCCATCCCATTGCCTTCTCGCTTACGTGGTTTCTACTGAGAAATCAAAGCTTATAATTACTGCTTGTCCTTTGTAAGTAACTTTTCATTTTTCCTGTGCTGCTCTCATGATTCTTTCTTTGCCTTTGGTTTTGGTGAGTTTGATGATGACATATGTGAGTGATTTTTTGGGGGGATCTATCCTGTTTGGGGTTTGTTGGACTTCCTGAATGGATATATTTTCATCTTTCAACATACCAGGAAAATTCTCCTCCAACAAATCTTCGACAATTTTCTCTGTGGTTTTATTTTTCTCTTCCTGTTCTGGAATTCCGATTACACTTAGGTTATTCTTTTTGATTGTATCCCACATGAATCTTACGCTTTCTTCATTTTGTTTTGATCTTTTTTTCTGATTGATCTCTTTCCAAAGAAGTGTTCAGGTATTTGCCTTCAATCTCATTAATTCTGTCTTCCATTGACTCAATTCTGCTCCTTTGCCCATTCAATGTCTTATCTATTTCTGAAAATTTGGTATTAATCTTCTGGATTTCTATGTGTAGATTTTGTATCATTTCTTATTTTTCATTGACTTTGTCATTTTGTTCTTGTACTGTCTTTCGAAATTGTTCTAGGGTTTTCTTTGTGTTTTCCCTGATCTGTCTCTCAACTCGTTGAAGATACCTAAATATAATTCTTTTGAATTCCTTATCAGGGAGTTCCAATGCTGCATCTTCCTCAGGGATGTGCTTGGGGTCTGTATCCTGGTCCCTTGTTCCTCCTGCTTTATCTTGCTTCTTTGTGTGGACTGTGATGCTCTGTTTTCTCTGAGGCACTGTGACATTTTTGTGTTTATACTGAATTGGTGATTGGATGGTGGAGTGAATTACCCACGATTTTCATTTTGTTTGTTTGTTTGTTTGTTTTTGTATGTTATCTATGCAAGCAGGGTACTGTGCTCCTCTATACGCTAGTTGACAGCACTTATAGATTTACCACCTGTCTCTTTTCCTGTTGTCAGCCATTCGTATGTGCCTGCTGACATCGGCAAACAGAACCTGTTCTTAGTGCCCTGGAATCCAAATGAGAATGCTATCACTTTAAAATCCAAAATGGCTGCCACTTGTAAAGATTCAAAATGGCTCCACCCTCAGTCACTTTAAATATCCAAAATGGCCTCTGCTTGTAAATATTCAAAATGGCTGTGCCCTTGGTCACTTTAAGTATCCAAAATGGCTGCCACGTGTAAACAATCAAAATGGCTGTGCCCTCTGGACAGCGGAAAGCCGACAGCTCAGGTTGTCTCCCTCCTAGCTGCTTCCCTTCCTAGTCATAGGCCACCAGCGCAGTTGTCCCTGCAGCCTTTAGTGACCATGGCTGATCTTTAGGTCAATTCTCAGGTCCCAACACCACTTGGAAATATTTAGGCTGTTGGTCCTGTCAGAATAGCTGACAGTCCGCAGCTCTGACTGTCTCTGTACTCACTGTTTTCATTCAGGTTTTTCCCCTAGTTGGTGCCTAATCCACTTCTGTATAGTTCCTTTCAAAGCTCAGGGTTCCAGGATTATCTTCTGTACCTCTGTCAATTGGTTTTTCTTTCCTTGTTGAAGAGGGTCTGTGTCACTTGTCTGTCTATTCCTCCATCTTACCGGAAGTCTCTGTGTTGCACATAGTCTTTGCTTAGTTATTTTACTTCTAGAAATCTACTGTAATTAATACTTGCACTTGTATAGCCCAAAGATGTCTATAAGTGCAAAAAAAAATTTTTTTTCAAATTTTTATTGTGATTTGGGTAAAAGTTTACAGAGCACATTAATTTTTCATACAGTGGCTCACATATACTTTGTCTTATGACATTGACTACAATTTCCCACAATGCAACAACTCCCCTCCCAATTCTTCCCCATAGTTACCTCTTCCCTGTGTCCTTCCCTCCCATGCACTCCTGCTCCCCGAGCTGTCTCCCTGTGCATACACAGCCCTTTTATTCTCCCATGATTGATTGCTCTAAGGAGTGTATCTACCTAATGTAAATGTTCAGCTCATATGCCTATCTTTTGTTTGGGTGGAGGCAACAGGAGTAAGTTCAGTTCTAGATTCAATTCTAGACCTAAAGGGCAGCTAGGGGCAGTAGTCTCAGGGGTTCCACCAGGCTCTATCAGACCAGCAAACCTGGTGCCTTTTTTTCTATATATAAGTGCAAAAAAAATTAAACAACATAATTGTCCATCCTTGGTTAAATATGGAATATTATACAGCTTTGAAAAATGAAATAGACATATTATGAGCTACTATCGTCAAGACATGGTCAAACCACAAGTCACAAAACAATTCATGCTATACTATCATATCTTAGAAGTAAAAAAAATACTTGTACATGCATTATAATTTTAAAATCCATAGAAAGAAGCCTAAAAGAACATACAGTTGTTAAGAGTTGTAGTTCTGAAGAGGAAGAGTGAATTGGGAATAAAAAAGGAGACTTTGATACTTAGCTCTGCATACTTATATTTTGTATGCATCCTTTACAATAAATATGTATTTGTGTACACCTTACTTTATAATTTTAAAAAGTAAAAATAAAAACTAAAGACTGCAGCTTATTAGAAACAGAATAAAAGAAAAAAGAGTGAGAATAATATTCATGGCTAGAGAAAGAATAAGACCCACTGACAAGATTTCTTGTCTTAAGCTCCTCCCATCCCCCCCTTTTTAAAACATCATGTGGACTACTACCCATCTGCTAGCACATTCCTGTTTCAGATATATCAGGATGCACATGATCAGATTACAGCTTTCTTTACCCTGAGGATATCTTCCACAACCATTTGCCCTTCCCAAATCCCCCAAGTATAAAGGATTTACCCTTTCTAAATATTCATCAACTACACAAATAAGCCATCTCTTAAGAAGGATTACTTATACAGCAAACACATACAGAGTTCAGCAAAGATCATTTTAAAATAGGTTAAATAGAGTTATCTCCACAACAAAATTGGAAAACCTGGAAGTGGCATTTTGACAAATTAAAACAAAATCTTGAAAAAACAGAGTTTTTCTCTGTAACCAGATATGAAAACCTGGAAATAGCACTTTAACAAATAATGACAAAATCTTGAAAGAACAAATTTTAGCAAAACTATTAATTCAGAATACTCAGGACCGGCTATCTAAATAAAGTGTTGTACATTTTTAGCACAGTGAAATCGAGCCTTTCAGAGTAGTGACATCAGATTCCACATGCTCAATCGTCTCACCTTTCCAAAGGCAGATGCTCCAGCACAGATGTGTGTGTAATTGAACTGCTTCTGAGTTGCCAAAATCAATGGTGTCAGTTCCTCTGAGAATTAAACACATTTGATAAATACATTTCATAATATCCTTATATTCATATGTTTAAGAATAATTTAGACACATTTTTTTCCATTGGAAAATCTCACCTGGAAGGAACCCTTTGTAGGCATCATGCTGGGCCACCAGAACTTTTGCTACACCTGCTACTTTGCAAAGATCCTGTGCCACCTGTGATTAAAAGAGTTTTTAATCATCCATCTAATAGACAGATACAAATAGAGCCAACCATGACAAATATAATGGCCAACTTTTGAAAAGTCTTACTAGAAAAAAGGCTACTTAAGAAGAAAAAAAAAAATTCTTTAACAAAGGAAATCTTTTGCCAACTGATCTTACTACCAATTTACCTTACACAGGCCTAGTACAGGTTTTTCAGCAAAAATTCCTGCCAAACTCAACATGATTTTCCATTCTAATTTAGTTGTAAATTGTGCCCTTTGTTTTTGGCTTAATGTAACTATAAATTTATCATTTTAGAAATGATGAAACTGAGACAATGGTTTGGTTCTCTCTCACACAACAACACAGCCAATACTTTTAGGTTTAGGGTTTCCTACAGATGAAGAACAGGCTTAATCATGCTACTTTACAGGCCACTATACTTTATTCTAAGGCTGGCGGTTCAAACCCACCAGCCACTCCTTGGAAGGAAGGTTGGGCAATCCTACTTCCATAGTGATACTGCCTCGGAAACCCAAGGAGGGGTCACTATGAGTCGGGGTCGACTCGACGGCACATAACGACAACAACAACAACATACTTTATTCTGCTGATCTTCAAATTAGTGCACTTGGGCAATAGAGAAAATTTTATGTAATAGCCCATTGTCACCACTGATTTCTTGTACATGTACACATATTTACATATGAAAAAGCAAAATTTCTATTTTAATTCCTCATTTTTCATGTTTATAATCAGGATAGTATTTTGAAAAAGCTTTCCAACCACTAAGATTTTCTGTATACAGAAGGCAATTAGAAGTCTCCTTACCCACCAGCTACTCTTGTAGGAGGAAGATGAGGCAATCTGCTTCTATAAAGATTTACACCTTTGGAAACCCTATGGGTCACTATGAGTTGGAATCAACTCTACAGCCATGGGTTTGGTTTTGGTTTAAGTAATTACAGAATACCGGTTTCTGCTTGGAGCTCTGATGATGTAGTGGTTAAAGCATTTGGCTGCTAACCAAAAGGTCAACAGTTCAAACCCATCAACCACTCTGAAGGAGAAAGATGAGGCAATCTGCTTCCGTAAATATTTACAGCCTTCGAAACCCTATGGAGCAGTCCTACTCTGTCCTATAGGGTTACTAAGAGTCAGAACTGACTTGACAGCAGTGGATTTGGTTTCTGCTTTAGTGGATCATGTCAGTTGTATCAACATCTTCTATTTCCTTGTCTACCTCCATGTTGATTCACTGATGACTTGGCATAAAAGGCTGAGGCTCCTATCCCCCTCCATAGACTGTAAAGTTGCAACAGTATTCAACGAAGAGAAGATGCAGTACAGAAGTACATCTACTGAACCGTGCAAGATTTAAAACAAGTCTTCACTGGCAGACTAACTCATACCACAGAAGCCCTCACTGACCATCACCACTTTATTATGTAAGAATTTCTATTTGGCTTCTCTAACTTGAAGAGAATGCCTAATTAAGACATCCCAATTAACTCCTAAGAAGCTATACAGGAGGCTATGATACAAAACGGAACAGAATCTTGCCATCAAAACTACCTTTTTTTATTGTTAAAAACTTTTGGCATGGCCAACAAACATATGAAGAAATGCTCACGATCATTAGCTATTAGAGAGATGCAAATCAAAACAACAATGAGGTACCATCTTGCTCCAGCACTAGTAGCAAAGTTCAACAAGACAGAAAATAACATGCTGACGAGGTTGTGGAGAGATTGGGACTCTCATACACTGCTGGTGGGATTGTAAAATGGTACAACCATTGTGTAAAGCAGTATGGCGATTCCTTCAAAAGTTGGAATTAAAAATGCCATTTGACCCAGACATCCCATTACTAGGTATATACTCTAAAGAAGCGAGAGCCATGACAAGAACAGATATATGCACACCCATATTAATCGCAGCACTATTTACAATAGCCAAAAGATGGAAACAACCTAGATGTCCATCAACTGAGGAATGGATAACCAAACTATGGTACAAACACACAATGGAATACTATGAAATGCTAAAGAATAATGTAGAATCTGCAAAACACCGCATAACATGGATGAACTTGGAGGACATTCTGAGTGAAATAAGTCAATCACAAAAGGACAAATATTGTACTAGTCCATTATTGTAAAAGTTAAGGAAAGGTTTATCTATTGAAGGGAATTTTCTTTGCTGATTACCAGGGGTGGGAGGGGAGGGGAAGGAACACTGTTAAGATAGATAGAGATAAATATTGATTTGGGTGAAGAGAAGGGCAATGTACCAAATATGAGTGACCAATATGGCAGCATTGAGGATGAGAAAGACATAGAGAGGTACATGGGA